GTGTTCAGGAGTAGTTCACACTGTGAGCAATCCCCTCTTCGCGGTCTAGAAATAGGCGAGGGTTCGAATCCCTCAGGTGTCATTCTTTTTGGCTCTTTTTCACCGGCACGGTGCTTGTGCTCCCCACGGTACGGTAACGGAGCGGACCGAGTTCCCTTTTTGGTTTTACGTCTTGTATGCTCTTTTTTTCCATGATTGTCCGCGTCTGATTTGTTTATCACTTCACCTCCTCTTGTGGTGGACTATCATCATGATGCAGGATATGGGGATTGAAAGGCCATCGCTTCGATAGACGACTCATCGGAGTTCTTACAGAGAGGTCATCACTCTATGATACAAACCTGTTGATTTCCGTGCATCCCAGCAATCAGCTCTCATCACCTCACCGTTCATTCGACTGTGAAGCATATCATCCCCTTTCTCTTTCCGTCACACTCATTCTCTCGCCCACTCACTCATCCAACACTGAGAGCGGCTACAGTATTACATTCGTACTCGTACGAGCATTAATCACCTACCACACCGAAAAAAGCCCGAGCCAAAAGAACTGCCGAAGCCAAAAAGGGCCAAGACGGCACCACCCGGCCACGACTCGACAGTTTTCTTGGCAAGGTCGTTCTTGGCTGACGACGAAACAAAAAAGGCCAAGCCCCTAACGAATTTTTTTTTATATCTCCGTAGCGCCGCATAAATTGGACAAGCAGAAATTGTCCGAAGGGTGAAAACAACGCGCCAGGGGGGGTTCGACAAGATGCCAAGAGGCTAAATGTTCGGTATGTAATATCGCACGATCAGCAACAACGTTCAAGACGATGTTTGGACGTCTTCTCCGGAATGTACGGAGGACATACGAGTATTGGATGGGATATAAAAGGTCAGTCATTCGCTGGATTTAGATGTGGAACTAGACTTTTTGCCTTTTGGCAACGTGGGATGGCGTGATGCTAGTAGCTCAAGGCAAGATACTTGTATGTACAGCATCTCGTCCAAAAGACGGGAGAGTGTGTGCGAAAAATTTGACGCATGGAAGCGTTCCAGAAGCGAAACTAGAAAGGGAGTCTCCCCATTTGCTAGAGCGTTTCCACCCGGAGCAAGAGTCAGGCACGGGAGCTCTTATCAGTGGGTATTTCCCGTGTGAGTACAGTACAGTACATGTCAGATTCCGCTTCCCAGATGCTGCAAATGGGTATTTGTCTTTGTCAAATCTCATAATAATACATTAAAAACGTGGCTTTCTAGCGCTCTACTATTACATTACAGAAACAGGAAACCCCCCCCTCCCCCACGACCTTAGTTGTTAGCTCCCTCGTACTCAACCTCCTTGGTGGGAGCAACGACGGGCGCTTCGCGGTCCAGCTCGAATGACTCGTCCTCAATCTTGTCGTAGTGGTTGAAGAGGTAGAAGAAGACAAAGGCGGTGACGAAGCTGGCTCCGGCAACACCAGTGTACATCCAGATGAACTCGGGGTCCTTGGACACGGAGACCAGCGCCTCGGAGATGGCAGAGCCGAAGGCGTTGGTGAAGAGGTACAAGCTCTGGACAAACGACTTCATGCTGGGGGGAGCCTTGGTGTAGGCGTACTCGAGACCCGTGACGGAGATGAAGATTTCGGCCAGACCGACAAAGACGTAGGCGGGGGCCTGGACGGCAATGTGCACGTTGTTGGGAAGCACCTTGCCGTCCACCATGGCGGCGTCGCAGTTGTTGGGGCTGTCGTAGCAGGGGCCAGCGCTGTAGATGAGGTGCTGGACAATGGCAGCGTAGCCGAGGCAGAGGGAGATCCAGATGAATCCCAGGCTGATGCGGGCAATCGGGCGGATGTTGATGCCCACCTTGCGGAGGGCGGGGTAGACAAAGATGTCGAGCAGCGGAGTGAAGATGAGAATCGAGATTGGGTCAAAGTTCTGCATGAAGTCGTTGGGCATGCCGTGGCCGTTCATCTGGCCGGCCTGGGTAACAAAGTTGGTGGAGAATTGACCATAGCCAACCCAGAAGATGGGGTCTGGCGAGCATGTTAGTTGATGCGATTCCAGAGAAAAGGGGGGGACAGTAAATCGGTGGAAAACCTACAAAAGACAAAGACCTTGCAGGCCCGGATGGCGCGCTTCAGCTCCTCCACAAAGTGGTCGTTCCAAGCAACCGGCTTGCTCTTGCCATTGGCGGCACGCCACGAAGGCTTGGCCGCGTCCATGTTGCGCGAGACAATCATCAGGCCCAGCGCCTTGAAGGCATCGGTAATGATGGAGCCCTGCGGGGGGTGGATGATGTACGACTTGCGGCGGATGACGAGGATGGCGATGCTAAAGTTGAACATGCAGAAGCACATGAGGAAGGCAGTCCAGAAGCCGCAGTACTTCTCCATGAAGGGGGTGGCGATCAGAGACAGGGAACCCAGGTTGATGCACCAGTAAAAGATCATGTAGATGCGCTGGTAGGTGATGGCCGGGTCAATGATGATTCGCTCGCCGCTCGGCTCCGTTCGGATCGCCATGGTTCGGCGCTGGTACTGGTCGGCAATCAGGGGAGCAATGTTGGACTTGATACCACCGGTACCGGCACCGATGACGATGATGGAGACAATGTAGCCAGGCAGGCCGGCTCCGTGAGCAATGGCAACGGGAAGAGACGTGGTCCACAGAATGACGAGACCGACCCAGTAGACGCAGCAGAAGAGCATAATGGTCTTGTACTTGCCCAGGTACTGATCAGAGATGATGGCACCGAGAATAGGGGTAACTGTCACACTCATCGTCAGCAAATTCCGTTCCCCAGACTGCTGATTTCCTCATCAATCATCACCACATACCATAGCAAAACCATTGGAAGAACAGGTTGAGACCAGTGGCGGCTTGACCACCCATACCCAGGCCGGGTGAGTCGCTGGAGTCATGCTTGCCGTTGCTGATGTAGTTCTGGAAGAGACCCGAGGCGCCATAGTAGGTGAAACGCTCCATCAGCTCGACGACGGCGATGAGAAAGGCCGACGCGGGCAGGTTCTCGCCGACACGGCGCAGTGTCCGCCTCTCATAGTCGCTGGGCTCCTCGCCATCGGGCGTGGCGCCGGCCTCAGCACCCTCTGGTGAGAGGTCAAAGTCCTTCTTCTCATCACGGTCGGCCGCAATGAAGCCTCCGGCGAGATCGTGGATCTCGCTGGGGTGAACACGCTCGTTGAACTCCTCGTGGAGCCTAAAAGGTGACGAATATTGGTAAGCATGCGACCGGACGAGGAGGGTCCCATATCCAGCCCATTGTAAAGACTCACTCAGCAGCGGTGTCCTCGTGGTTGTGAGCCATGATTGCGGTTGTCTTTGCCTCGACTACTGTGACAGTCCCAAGGCAAGTCTCTGGGGGAACAAGAAGACCAGCCGGGAAGAAGAGCAAGAAGAGGAGCAAGAGGAGAAGAAAGAGGGGAGAGAAGGGTAAACCACGAGAGCGAAGGGATCCCACAAACTTAAATGATTTGGGGGGGCTCTTCGAGCGAGGGATGCTAGTCCACTCTCCAGTCTTTAGCCTCGAATACAACGTTATCCGCCACCAGGCTCTGTTCAATTGTATCCGGAGTAGTCGTAGTGGTATCTGATGGAGCGACAAAAGCTACCCCCCCAAGGATCTTTTGGACCAGCCACGCCGCAGTCGTCTCGCCTCTTGCTTGTTTCCCCACGGGCCAGCCCATGCATCTCCCAGCTGCTCGTGTGCCCGCGGCCAGCATCGCTAATATCCTTGACATTGTCCGAGGGCCATCAGTCGTCATAGGAAAAGGCACCCGGCGCTGCGATTCGTGCTCTGAGATGCGGTCCCTCGCTATCAGACCCGTCCTACCGCAAGGACCTGGCT